AAACTGTTACTTCTAATTAGACAAACTACTAACATTAGTCAAACATTTGTAGAGTATTTTGCAACACGATTCTCAAGCATAGTTAGATAACTTAAATTAGCATATGGTTTTAAGATTGTTATCAAATCCTCTTAAAAACTTTCAATGTTAATGAGTAGTTGTCACTCACATTTGTCTAAATTTTTTTAGAATAGTACTTCAAATTTAGTCTATAACATTTTTTTTGAAGATGATATTATCGCTACCACGCAATGCACGGTTAAAAAACTAGTTAAATTTAGAGAGGAAAAAGGGAAAGAATTTAATGGAAACCAACTTTAAGGTATATATATATATGAATTATATCCATGAAATAATTGGGTACAAAACCTTTAAGGAGAATATATGTTTTATGATAAAAGAGAAGATAATATTTATTACCTTTTTATGGATATGATCACAATAATTCAAACCTCTCACATTAAAACAATGTTTCATTCATCTCTCAATCAATTGCTCTAGAACTCTCGGTCTCAACCACAAGGGTGGTGCCTGATTGGTTTGAGTTTGGCTCCAAAGGTCAAAAGTACTTGGAGGTTTCAGGTTCAAATTCAAGGGGTAATAAAAATTCTCTTGTGGCCACGGAGGTTCAAATACGGTGACTCTTGGCTATCTGCAAAGCAGGTGGTTGCCTTGGAATTAGTTGGCTCGCATAGCGGATTGGATATCCAGGTTAATAAAAAAAAAAAAAAAACTCTCGGTCTCGCTCTCGAATCTCTTGATTCTTTGCTCTTGGTGTAAATCGAACACATTTGTGTAATCGTTTGAATATGTTGGATTTTAAATATATTGGATTATAAACTGTCATACAATTTTTTTTCATCGATAGAATATAATTTAAACCATAACTCTTATTTATTCTAATTGTATTGATATGTAAAGACCAAGTGTAACTTATGTCATCATTAAATCTTCTCTAATAAAACCAATGAAACTTCAAAATCGTTAAAATTCACAGCTTCCACCAAATTGCACGAGTACACAAGTAATTTATTTATTAAAATCAACCATTAGTTTGATATTTTGGTTGACTATCTATATCTATATATATATATCTATATCAAATGCAAGGGAATTTTAAGGCTCTTTGTCCTGTCAATTTAGAATAAAATTAATTAATGTTTTTTTAAATGGAATATGAAATGGAAACCCCACGATGTATATTTACTTTCCAGGACTATTTGTGGGTCCCAATCTAATTATGAACTTTGTCACAAAAAATACCAATTTTTATTTTTATTTTTATTTTTATTTTTATAATATATCTTATAAAATATGAACTCAATTGAAGAGGGGAATGATATGAAAGACACCATATATTAAATGCAAGTGCATGTGGTGACCAAAAAATTAAAATCTAAACATTCCATTTCGACAAAGTTCCATAACTTTCAGTCCGCTATCCCGATCATGATTTTCCTACTCCTAGAGGGAAAGGTCCTTCCCTTTTGGGCTGGTTGTGGGCGAGAAGGGATTCGAACCCCCGACACCGTGGTTCGTAGCCACGTGCTCTAATCCTCTGAGCTACGGGCCTTACTCCGTCTCCACTGGATCTGTTCCCGAGAGTACCCTAAAAAAAGAACCATTTTAGTCCCAAAATCAAAATTAGTATAAATTCACATGTCTGCACATGTTGAAATAACGAGCGCAAACGTGCAACTCGTGGACGACGGCATTGGGTTAGAGAACCTGTTTTCAGAAACTGTATATGTGAGGAAAGACGGGCAGATGTATTTCTTTGATGTTAGGAAATGGTGCAATTGGTTCGATTAAACGACAAAAATGGTGAAGAACAGCGATGGTGAAGTGGACCAGGCGGAAGGTGGGGTGAGGTGTAATCTTACAAAATGACAAAACCGTATGAATAATAAATCAAAAAGAATTAGAAAAAATGTAAACACCCCAAAATAGCCCTTTGTTTAATGGAGTCTTTTTAATTTTGTTTTGATTTTGGAATTTTAGAGGGGTGTTTGGAATTACTTATTTGAAACAACTTATACTTTTTTATAAAAATCTTTATTAACTTATTATAAGTTAGAATTGTTTAATTCCTTCAAAAACTTCTTATTACCGTTTTGGCACCGGTATAAACTGTTTATCTAAACACTCAAAAGTGTTTATTACTGGTGTCATACTGGAATAAGTCAATAAGTTGTTTTTATAAGCAATCTCAAACACTCCTATGTAGGTTAAAAGTGTGAACCACGTGGACTAAATTTCTAATTTTTATAAGGGATTATTTTATAAGAAAATTAAGTATTACATAATACTCGCGATTGTGTTTAGGGGTTCCATTGGAGTAAATAATTAATATTACGGTTTTGGAAATTATTTCTTAATGTTTTTTTTTTTAAATTATTTAATATTGGGCAAGTCATATATTGTCGTAAAAGTGTACCTTTTATATTGAGGTGCACAAATGGGTCAAGGATCGGGACCAACCTGACTAGGACCGGTTACACGAAGAACCTTGATTGGGTCTGGTCCAAACCCAAAAGCTCATACATCCCTACTTTTTCATTAACGATAGATTACAGACCGGTTATGCACACTTGGTCAAACTGGGTTTGGTGGTCAGGTAAAGCCCATTTAAAACCCGGTAAAAAATGTAAAAAAAAAACATAAGAGTTAACTTTTATGGTTCTTGTTTTTTTTTTTTTATCATTTTCCTTTAACGGTTAGTTTGAGGGGTTTATAAGAAATCTAAGTATCTAAGACAATGTGGTTAAGGTGAAGAGTTACCACATAGGTGTTGTGTAACATGAAGGTCTTGATAAAATTGAAAGAATACGGAATAGCCATAAGACTTGTTATGTTGTATGCATGGTTGGAGTATTGGGTGATAGGGAAGACCGATGAGAGAGATGGGAATTGAATGAACAAGAACACTTAGTTGCAGATGTGGTAGAACCCGTGCTAGACAAAATATTGAACAGGGTCTTTCGAACAGTGTTGAAGTTAGCCTATCATGTACAACTCAGAAAAAATGTGTATAAAATAAATTTCAAAATACTATTTCCAAATTTAAAAGTTAATAAAATCTAATTTTTTAAAAATAATATATTTAATATTATATATATATATATATATATATATAATATTTAATATTCAGGGACAAGGCGGAGCTGGGACTATGTTACCCATCCCCGTCCCTGATATTAACTTTTCGAGATCCCCATCAATAATCCCCGGTTTTGTGGGGAATCCATGTCCCTGCCGAAACGGATACGCTAGTTCCTCAATAGGATGGGTCTCATTCCCATGTCTAGTATTTGAAACCTAAGTTAGACTAAGGGTGTGATGTTTTCACACATTGGTTATATCATTTTTGTACTTGGTTCTATTTATATAGTGCTCTCTCGTGGGAAACTATTGATAAACAAGATAAAACAATATTGCATCTCTACTCTTTGAAGCGGGGTAAGGTCATGCATGTTAGATTCCTTTGTGGCAATACACAGACAAATATATCGTGTTTCATTCGGTTATGTGTGAGAATATGTGGAATCCATTAAATTACTCTTCAAATGGTCCAGTCTAGCCAGTGTGGGACTAATATTGTGTTTGATTGGTGTCTCCTAATAGATGGTCCGAAGGTGAATGCAATGGAAAGGAAAGATGGTTGAAAGGCAAGAAATCCAAAAACAAAAAAGGAAATTTGCATTAAAATAAAACCAACTTTCACCTAATTCCTATTTTGGGGAACTAACCTTCAAAATCGTCATTTTAGGGAACTAACTTGCACCTAATTTTTATTTTGGGGAACCAACTTTCAAAATCGTCATTTTGGGGAACCAACTTGCACCTAATTCCCATTTTGGGGAACCAACTTTCAAAATCGTTATTTTGGGGAACCAACTTGCAAAATAATTATAGAAAAATAACTAAAATTCGTTTTTTTCCAAAAATTAATGCAATAAAATTTATTTTTCATTTCAAAACTCGTTTTTTTAACTCATATATCAAATTGAACATTTAAAAAAAAAATCCAAATTACCACGATAAAAATTATTTTTTACTAATATATATTGATTTTTTTGCATTAGTAAAAAACAATTTTTATTGTGGTAATTTGGGTTTTTTTTAAATGTTCAATTTGATATCTGAGTTAAAAAAAACGAGATTTGAAATGAAAAATAGATTTTATTGCATTAATTTTTGGAAAAAAACGAATTTTATAATTATTTTGCAAGTTAGTTCCCCAAAATAGGAATTAGGTGTAAGTTGGTTCCCTAAAATACGAATTACGTGAAAGTTGGTTTCATTTTGTTACAATTTTCCCAAAAAAAATAAAGGTAACTAATTGTTTATCTAAGTGTATGTTACATAGCTGATATTACATAGTTAGATTTTGAGACCCAATATATTATAAAATACAAATCATAAAAACATAATCCATAGATATTTTAAAATAGAAACCCAAAGTATTAAAACATATAAACCACGGAGAACTCCAAAACAAATACATTTAAGGCGAGTTGTTTGATGGATAGAGGTGTTTGTATGTGTGGTTGATATGATAGGAACGTGTGGATGCCACCTTACACGTGATCAAAACGACCACGCATGCATGTTTACCATCCCATAATGCAACTGTCCCCACCCGTCAGATATCTGCCCCTCTCGTTTATTCTTATTGTGACAACTGACCTCTCTTTTTATTTTCCTTTTTTTTAATTCATCATAAAATATTTGATTTATTAAATTAATTAATTAAAATTAATGATTAATAGAATTTTAAAAAACCTGTCAGAAGTGGGATTTGAACCCACGTCCTCTTCCGAAGATCAGAACTTGAGTCTGGCGCCTTAGACCACTCGGCCATCCTGACCACATTTTCACTTCCTACTTATATAACCTGATATTCAACACATTTTCTGATTTACGAACTTTTTGGTCATGAAGGTTCGCCTATGACGACTTCAAGATTCTCTTGGTCGACCGAACGATTAGCGAGTGTACATAAACTGGTCTAGAAAACCAACTGTTTATTGTTATTTTACACAGCTATTCATTTGGATATATACATACAAGCTACATACGATTGGCTAGTGTCAAGCTACCTCAAGGTCGCCGTTGCTGTAGGTCTTTTTCATACGTCGAAACTCGCCATAGAAGTAGGAAAGGAAACCCCAAAGAGATAACGTAAGCGAAATTCCTTTTTCCACGGGAAATCTTTCATGGAAGAACAAAACAGCTAAAGACTCTGTTACAGGCAGCAATGTAGCGATTATTATTCCAGACAACAACGAGGAGGCACAGAAAATGACTCCGATTGCTCCCAAGAAAAAGAATTGCCAAAAAAGCGCGTTCACCATCAGAACCACGTAATATGTATCTTCCCCGAGCTTAAATGTCCTCGCCTCTCGAGGAATTGCCTAACCATTCAACACAAATGATTCAATCTAGAGATCTTACGAGGTTCGAAACATGCTTTGCAAAATATATCGCTACAACAAAATGAGTCTGTTAGGACGTCCAACAGCTCTTGGGCGACTTAATAGACACTTAATGGGGATTTAAGTTTCGGTATTCAACAACTATGTATCATATACAATGGAGTTACAATAAGTCGTTAGACAACCTGACAAGTTTTTCATGGATGAAGTTCGAGAATCTAATAGGACATAAGAAAGTGTCCTTAAAAAACTTTATTCGAAGAATTTATTGTAACACCATTGTATATAACTCAAAGTCGTTGGTCTTATCAATTTAAGTCCTATTAAGTATTCTATTAGGTAGCTCTAAGACGGGATCTACCTTGAAGTCACGGTTGACCAGCATTCCGATGGTGCAGAAGGCAGTTGCAAAGAACGATATAACGATCTGCATCTCCATCACCAAAGAATAAGTAATCGGTTGCTTAGCTTTCTTGAAAGTCAACTCAATCGACGGCAGGATAAACCCATACAAAGCCGACGCTCCAAGTGTCATAAAGAACCCCTCGTAATACTTCATCCTTGATTCGTGAGCAGGCCGATCAGTGCTGGAATGAAGACCAAGAATCACAGCACCAATAGACAACAAAAATATCGAATTAATCGTGAAAGCAGAAAACTTCTGTTTAACCAAAAGAAACGCGAATCCAGCAGTAAATGCCAATTGGGTGGCGATAATAAGAGCAGACGTGGAAACGGGAAGGCGGGAAACGCCATAAGCAGCTAAATAATCGTCCAAACCTGTTAAGACTCCAAGAACAGCACAAGGGAATAGGAGATTTGGCTTCAAAGAAAAAAGCTTAGTGTCGTTTCTTCCGGTTCTTTTTTGGTACAAAAACGACAGGATTAGTGGGAGGATTAGAAACGGCCAACCGGCGGTTAGTAGCCAGCTTGATATCCAAATTTCCTTACCGCCTTTTATGAAGTAGAGGCGTTGAACCAACGGGCCACCGCAGTTTCCTATGGCTAGCATTATGCAGTTTAAAGCAAGCAGGGCCTTCTTTGTGGTTCTGTTCATCTTGTTATGGATGTATTCTGCTTGTTCGTTGCTTGTCGTTTGTGAATCCATCTTCTCGATGAATTCTGCAAAACGTTATCGGAGTACTTCTTAGCGGGATCTCCCACACAAGAAGAAAATAGAGTAACAATTAAACGAAAAGCGTAAATACGCTGCAAACCCGTGGAAACTAATCTAAACCATTCAACGAGTTTGATTTTAAGCTATAATTCAGTATTTTTTCACACATAAAACGGTCTTGAATGTTTTTTTATGTGAAACAACACATGAAAACTAGTTTACGGTTTTCATTTTGACTTTCCTCAAAGATTATATATACATATCGTTATGGGAAAGTTGATTTATGAACCAGATATATTCTAAATTCTATTCAGTGTGAATATACCTTAATACCCATGAACACTATTCATCAACAGTATCATGTACTTTCACTATTAATTCATTATGAATAGTTTAAGTTCATCTGCTCTGGATCTAATCTTCAAAACCGAAATGGTAACGGTTATGGACCCATTCGAAAAACCAAAACCTATTTACGTTTTTCAAATCAAACTTCTTTCTATCAGTGGTCATGATGAAAACCTTAAGCCACAAAAATCAGCTGCTAAATTAGCTGAATTGACTATCTAAGTCAAAATGCATCTTCTAAACTGCTTTCGGATACTAGCTGAGTTACAATTACAGAGATCCTATTTCCAATTAAAATAATTTGCATACAATTTAATCAAAAATCTGGAAGAAAATCAAATCAAATATGGTCGAAAACCAGTTAAACATCACCGATGGTTTATACACAGAGAGAAATGAAAGAACCCCTAAAAGAGAAATGAAGGTTATCCAAGTTTTACCTGTGTTTGGGTGCAGAAATCAATTCAATCGCCGAGAAATTGGCACCATTCCATGGAAGCAAAAAAGCACATATTTGAAGGCAAGAAAGTGGATGGAGGAAGAGGAGATTTTAGGGCAGATAAATGGACAGAAAAGTGAATTGGGAAATTGGGAAGAACACTTGGAAGTGTTTAGCCATACACACCATGGTTCCCGCCAATAACTATTTGACACCTTTGTATTTGCATGATGGCATGCTATAATTGTATTACCAAAACTATTATTGTGGAGATTATTATAACACCTGGGTTGTTTGTTTTATCTTTTAATAGTTTTATTAACAGATAATTTTTGAATTGTTAAAAGATGAATTTTGTTTGGTAAAAAATATTATTTTTTAATGGTTCTAAAACTTTCTGAATAATTTTGTATTTACTTATTTCATAGAATTTACTTATTTCTTATTTCATTTCATTCACTTTATATTTATTATTGTATATTAATATAATAATTATTGATGTTAAAAAAATCAGTAGTACTTATAAAAAACAGGTTCCTATAAAAACTATTATTTTGTAGTTTTTGAAGAGTTCTAATTTGATAAGTTGAATATGAGGTGCCAACAAAAAATTGAGATTCTTAAAAGAACCTTCATTGGAGATGGTCAAAAAGTGTAATGACTTGTAAGAATTATCATTGTATAAAGGTTCTTTTAAGAACCTCATGTCCTCTAGATTAGGGGTGTTCAAAAAAACCGTTGGATCGCTCAAACAGGCCGAACCAAGTCAAACCGGATCGTTTTTGGCGGTTTGAGCGGTCTGGTGGTCCGGTCTGGTTTGGAAAATAGCAAAACCGGGCGGTCCGGTCCGGTCTGCGGTTTGGAAACTTTTTTGGGCGGTTTAGACCAAACCGACCGCCATATATATATATATATATATATATATATTTTTTTTTTAATATTAGCAAGCCCAACTTTTTTAACTTATTGACTATGACCCAAATTAACATAATCAAAATCGACGACTAAAACCATTAAACCATTGAATATATCGACACATTTGATATTGACGGTCTCCAAATTTTGAAATCCCTCAAAAACTCAATTAATCTATTAATCTTTCTAATCCATGGTTTGATTTCGGCGCACATTATCAAGACATCAACCAAGTGATTCAACCAACTTAGATTTGGCTTCTATTTTGTTTGGTCAAGACTTAAGAATTGAATCATTGAAGGTTGTGAAGTCGTGAATTTTGTTACTCAATACTCACAGTAGAGTTGTAATTTTGTTATTTTATTTGTTTTCTAATATGTTATATCTTTATATGTTTGTACTTTAGATTGCCTCGACTTTATACTCAAGAACTGCTTAATTATTACATTTATTTGATTAGATATTTTTTTGTTAAAATGGATACTTAATCTAAAATTCTAAATTATATATATATATATATTAAGTTTAATATAAAGTCCATTAAAGGCCCAAACCGCCTAAACCGGTCAGACCAGACCGCTTTTACTTGGTCTGGTTTGACCGGTCTGAGCACTTGATGTCAAACCGCTCGGTTTGAAAATTTTATAAACCGCCATTACGGTTTGGTTTGTGGTTTGAGGGGTTAAACCGCCCAAACCGGACCGCGAACACCCCTACTCTAGATGCTTGAATAAGAAAGTAAAAATAATATTTTTATGTATAATATATAGGGTCATGTTCAACGAAAATCGTAAAAAAAATGAAAAACTGATAGAATAATACTCTGGTAACCATTCATCTAAACGGTATGCACATGTGTATATCCGTAATTTATAAGAAATTTATCTGGTATACACATGCGAATAACATGCATACGTGTATAAAAACTAAGAAACAAGGTTAATTACTTATATACACATGTGATACTATTCAGATGAATGATTATCAGGATGTTCATCAGTTTTTTATATTTTTGAATGTTTTTTTCCCGAAACTCCCTATATATATATATATATATATATATATATATATATATATATATATATATACATCAGAATAAGAATGAATTTGGAAGATTGGCAACTATGAAGCTCCCTCCATTATATTTGCTTTGTTTTTACCAAATTCCCCTTTTATTGATAATATTCGGAAGATTTTCTATCTCTTATGTACTAATCGAATCATTTTATCGATTTCATATCCACAAGCATAATTTTATTTTCATATATTCAATTTTATATTTTTATTATAAATAATATGATATTTGTTTAAAAAAACAAACTATCATGTTTTATTTTGAAAAATGAATGATTTTTTTATCATAATAAAAAGATTGTTTGTTTATCTGTTAATAGTTTCAGTAAGAGGTGAATCTTGTTTAGCAAAAAAAAAAATCTGCCTCTTAATTGTTATAAAATCCTCTGAATAATTTTGCATCATGACCTTCTTAACCATTCAATTCCATAATTTCATTGTAAATAATCACCAAACAATTATATTTCATTTTGCACTACATGACGAGAGCCTCTTAATCATTCTGACCACTTAATTATTCTGCACCAAACCATTCAACAACTACCAAATAACCCCTAATATAATATCAAATAAAATTAACAAATATTATCAATACAGAGTAGCCCAAACAGTCAAATGAATAAGCGCTAAAGTATTGAAATTCAAGAAATCAAATCATCCTCAAATGACTTAATCCATAAATTAAGAGCACCAATAATATATACAAGGTTCATTACAAATTTATAATTTATTAACATATTCCATTAACCAGTCAAATAATGAAGCAAACAATTTTGAAGTATTCACAACATAATAGCATTAAATTTGAAATTTAAAATAAATTAAGATCTAGAACTAAAATAACTTCAAACTCAAGGTAGAAAGCTCTGTAGATTTAGGGATGTTTGAGATTGCTTATAAAAACAACTTATTGACTTATTCCGGTATGACACCGGTAATAAGCACTTTTGAGTGTTTGGATAAACAATTTATACCGGTGTCAAACCGCTAATAAAGAGTTTTTGAAGAAGTTAAACTATTCTGACTTATAATAAGTTGATAAGTGATTTTATAGAAAAAAACATGAGTTGTTTCAAATAAACAATCCTAAACAACGGAGTTGGATGTAGATCCTTTGGTTAGAAAGTGGAGTGGATTAAATAAAAAAATACATATAAAAAAATACTTTGGTTTGGTCTAATTTGACACGAAAAACCATATTGAACCATTTTAGAGCTTCAACTGTTATGTTGTATTTTTTCTAAAATGAAGTATTATAACTCGGAATCTATAAAAAGAAAAAGGTCACACCCAACTCCAATAGTTATTTTATTTTAGATCGTGTTATATTAGATTCATGATTAAGAGGCCGTTTACCGAACACTTACCCGGTAAGCGTTTACCGGTAAATTTAACACTATTATTTACTTACCAGGTAAGATTTTAGTCCACAAAAACGGTATCGTACGCAACAATTTACTCGGTAAGCGCTTACCGTGGTAAGAGTTGTCGGCCTTACTTACCGGGTAAGACTCTTGGTCTTTGTCTCGTTCTTACCGGGTAAGATTTTTGGTCCTTACCATATTCATCCGGTAAGATATATAACTTGATGTTCACTTACCCGAATAAACGTTAGATAAACAACCCCTAAGTTGTAGTTGGGTTAGATGATACTTCCATTATAAATCATAATAATGGCATGAAATTTGAGCATAAAAACCCAATAATTACTTGAAACAACCATAACTCAATTGCCTTTTGAAATCGAAATTTGAACAAGATGCAATCAAAGGCAAAAAAACTTGATGTTGGGGTTTATCTCTTCGGTTGCTGTTGCCACAAATTTCAAATCGATCTGGGGTTGATTTCCATTGATCTTCTGATCGAAGCACTGATCATAAATCTTTAAGAAACTCTGATTTTGATTACTTCCCATCTCTCATCGGATGATTGTTATCTGTTATTTGATCAATCTTTACCAATTCGATTCCCAAATCGCCATCAACAGATTGAATTGGAATCTCATGATGATCAGAAACTTCTAAATCATCTACAGAAACTGACCTTCTGATGATCAACACCTCTGCCTTTGTTATACTGTTTGCATCTTCTTCATCTGTTTCCCCAATTCTCAATTCAGCACTTTCGCTAGCTTCTCCTCTGTTATCGTCCACAGGAAGTGAGATCCCTAAATCCGGTTCTCCCATTAGCCCAACTTCATCGGTGTTTAGCTCCGGCGATGGCGAATCGACGATGTTATTGACGATTGCGGCACGACATAAAGGACAGTTTGTGTGTGATCTGAGCCATGTGTCAATACATGATACGTGAAAAGCATGTTTACAGTTGGGTAATAATCTAAGCGTCTCGTCGGTTTCAAATTCACTCAAACAAACAGAACAATCAGATCCCTCGACAACACCGTCATCTTTGCTGAAATTCACAACGGCTATGGCGTTTATCACCGATGATTGAAGACCGACACTCCTGATGTACCAGATGGGGTGATCTACTAATTCGTTATCATTGGTTTCATAATTTTCCGGAGAAGGTGGCGGCGGAGTGCGGTGGCATCTGGATCGGCACCACACAACAGAGAGTTTGCAGAGGGTGTAGAGGAAGAAGAGGGAGAACGTGACGAAGAGGAAGATGAGAGAGATTCTGAGAGGTAGAGAGAGTGGTGGATGGTGATGTTTAGTGATCGGTAATGATGGGTAAGGACTGTTGGCCGGCGAAAACGACGACGACGACGGTGGAGGAGACGAGTCGATGACGCGACAAATGGAAGGACATATGTAGTGGCAAGTGGACACGCAAACGCCTGTAGGATTCAGAGGCAGATTACACTGAGTCGTACAATACCGATCTATGGCGGTGGCTTTGGTTGTGTCTTCCATAAATTTCCGGTGGCGACTGGATGCCGCCATGAGAGAAGGAGAAAGTCAACCTGTGTATGTGTTTTAGTGTGTGTAAATGGTGGCATTGTAGAATGGAGAGAGGGATACTCTTTGGTTTTCACGTTTTTTATTTTGTAGCCTTGTAGGTTTTCTTTTAATTTATTTTTTTTAAAGGGAAATTTATTAATCTTATATTTCATTTTCTATAAACTAGTTGTCTATTCGTGCAATGTTATTGGAGCTGTGAATTTTAACGATTTTCTAATTTCATTTATTTTATTAGAGAAGATTTAACGATGATATAAGTATACTTGGTCTTTACATATTAATACAATTTGAATAAATAAGAGTTATGGTTCAAATTACAGTCTATCGATGAAAAAAATCGTATGACAGTTTAAAATCCAACATTAAACGACTCCATAAATGTGTTCAATTTACACCAAGAGCAAAAAATCAAGAGATCGAGAGTTCTAGAGCAATTGAATGAGAGATGAATAAGACAACTTTTAATAACTCAAGGTGAATATCAATGTGAATCTGACCTTGGGGGATGGGGAGAAGACATAGAGGTATGGGTAAAATGTGTCAAAAGTATCTGAGAACATGAAAAGAAAAGGTAATAATATGCATTAGCAACTTGTACTATATATTATTTTAATTGTAGATTATAAGAATTTAAGTCTGAATGCATAAACTAATAGTACTTAATGCGTTATGAGTTGTTTTTAAGACTTTTAATACTTTGTGCATAAATGTATAGTACTTTGTGCATTAAAAATTGTGTTTAAAAGTTTTGATAAATCTGGTTTATAAGGTAATATAGATATAGATAATTGTTTTCAAGATAAAAAAAAAGAAAATTTAAAACTAATTTTTCCTTATAATTTACATCCTTATAGTTAGTTATTCAATTTATTTTATATCATTTGTTTTTCATTTTTCACATTTATTATATTAACACATATAATTATATATTAACTTAAATATATAAAAAAATACGTTTTCTTTTTCTACAAGTTGCACCATTGTAATTTTCTCGTCAATATGTTAAAAAAACAAGCATAATATTGAATTTTTGGCTTAAACATATTTTTATGTATCATATAAATACGTACGAATTATTTTTAAAACTTACATTTTTACCTTTATGGTTTTTTATTTAATCTGTAACTATAAGAGTATAAAATATAAGTATTAAAAATAATTTTTAAGTATTTATAACATTTAATAATATAAAATTAAACACATTCGATATTAGGCTTATTTAGGACGTATTAACAAGACATTATAATGGTGTAATTTGTAAAAAAAAAAAACGTATTTTTATGTAATTTAGTTAATATGCAATTACATATATTAATATAATAACTGTATAAAATGGAAAAACAAAATATATAAAATAAATTAAATAACTAATTATAAAGATGTAAAATGTATAAAGTCATTTTTTACATGTAAAGTCCCCTTTTAAAGTTTGGTATTCATTTAATATTTCTAAAATCCATAAAAGACATATCTCTACCGTCCGGCTCAAATGACCCTAAATAAAAACTTCATTTTTTTGGCAAATTTGAAAGCGACATTACGATCTATGTCAATCGCTGAGTCCAAATATATATATGTATATATATATATATATGTGTGTGTGTGTGTGTGCGCGCGCGCATGTATTGCATAACTTATAAATTCATTTGAGCACTAAAATTAATAAAACGATTTATTTAGTATTGAATAGTCCTGTAGATAAAACTTTGTCGGTTTCGAAATCTGAAAGTTTCATCATGATCATAATAAACCATTGTTCACAAAAGTATATTAGTCGTATTAAGCTCAATTCATGTGGTGGGTGTAATGTTCGGTTTTAAATTTATAGTTGATCGGGTTTCAAAATAATCAACAATACAAAATTCAGTAGTAAAATCTTATAACTGATGAAAGATCAGGGATCAAAGGTGAAATACTAATCACCTCATTGTGATTTAATAAGGACGGTCTAATAGTATTTTCGACTTGATGGTTTTTGTTAGGGTGATCATATTTTTTTTGCGGGGGAGGAGGCTGGGTGCATTATATATATGGTTTGGGGGAAACTGAGAAAGTTTTTGACGGACAAGATTTTAAGTGAAGTTTAAGAGGTGTTACGTAGATAAGGATAGAGGTTTGGTTTCGGTTGATATCGTACGAGGTAAGTTTTACAAAGCTTTGATATAATATGTGTTATTACGTTTCATGCGATTTACTTTGATACATGAATTATGTAAATGTATTGGATTCAAACTAACATGTAAATTACAAAGTGAATTTTTTTGGCCCACCATGTTTAAAGATGCTTTTGAGTTTGTGAAAAGTTGTGTCCAATGCCAAAGAGTGGGAAATTTGTCCCAACGAAATAAGATGCCCTTAAACAATATTTTAGAAGTTGAACTTTTCGATGTTTGGGACATTATTGATTTCATGAGACCATTTCCTATGTCTTTCAATAATCAATACATCTTAGTTGCGGTTGATTACATCTTGAAGTGGATAGAGGCTAAGACTTGCCCAAGAAATGATGCCAAGACGGTAGTGAGATTTTTACATAATAATATTTTTGTTCGTTTTAGAACTCCTCGAGCCTTGATAAGCGATGAAGGGACTCATTTCATAAAAAAATATCTAAGTGCCGCAGTAAATACAACATCCAACATAGAGTTGCCACAACTTACCATCCGCAAACAAATGGTCTTGCCGAACTTTCAAATCGTGAGATTAAAAATACTTTAGAGAAAGTTGTCAAGCCAAACTGTAAGGATTCATCATTCAAATTGGATGATGCATTATGGGCTTACCGAACCGTCTTTAAAACCCCTTTGGGTATGTCTCCATATCAACTGGTTTTTGGAAAGGCATGTCACGTCCTGTTAAAATTAGAATATAAGACATTTTGCGCAATTAAGGAATTTAATTTGAATGCAAATTCTGCAGGAGAGAAAAAAAAGTTCCAACTCATTGAGTTGGAAGAATGGAGGCACCTGGCTTACGAGAATGCCAAAATATCTAAAGAAAAATAAAATAAAAGCATGGCATGATCGTAGGATTAATCACCAATTTTTTTCAAAAATGTCAAAAGGTTCTTCTTTTTAATTCTCGATTAAAGCTTTTTTCTGGAAAGCTTAAATCAAGATGGTCAGAACATTTCACTATTTTTGAGGTGAGAAAGTTTGGAACAATAGATCTTTTGAACCCCTTGATAATAGTGTTTTCAAAATTAATGGGTATCGGGTCAAACATTTTTTTTCGGAAAAAATACAAGATCCAAGCCAAAAATCTTTATGATTTTAAAAGAGCAACTGTTGTATATAATGTAAAAATTTCTCTCTTTAGTTGGTGTTTGATTTTTGCAGGTATGCTCGCAGTGGGCACTTTGTGCCCACAATCCGGATTCCCCAATTTTTGGGGGGGAGTTTGAAGAATTAATAATTTTTTCTAAAAAAAAAGAAAAAAAAGAGAGAATGATGATTTCTTCTGATTTTAGCTGTTGGTTTCTTTGCGTTGGAAAAGCAAAAGGTTGTTTTTTTTAATTCTAAATCCCTTAACCGTTTTTACCCAAAGGAAAAACAAAAAGTTTTTTTTTTTGAAAAACTGGTTATTACGTGGTTCTTGAAGAAACAGTTGGACAAAAGGTTGGGGGGGGGGGGTCTTCTTGTTTAGCATTTAGCACCTTTTCATCTTATAGGTTTGACATTTCTCTCATGGCTCGCTCAAAATGACTCGTACCTAGTCTCTTTCCAATCCGCCGATCTTTGCGGTAGCATGCAGTCGTAGATGAACCAGTCACCGGTTCATCAATTGACGTTGATGGTGAAGCCGTTCCAGAGGCACCAGAGTCTCTGACCATCACTGTTGCCCCCTGCGTTTCTGCCGCCGGTCATTATTCTACTATTCGCGTGGACTACGATGAGTCCACGTCGTCGTCACTCCGGTAACCATTCCTCTTCTCTCTTCTTCACCTGATGTCATAGAAACCCTAATCACCGGCGACTCCACTATCACATTGCTGCAGGTCGTACCTCCCCCTCCCTCCACCACTAAACATATTTTCTTCTCACTCACCATTCCTACCTAACAGTCTTGATACCACCACCATTAGTATCACCTATTCCCCCTTAATCTGATCAACCGCCTCCAATCACCCTCACCACTACCCAAACCAAAACCACCACTCCCCATCTATTTAACATAAATCTGAGTGACATAATGGTGGTTGAATTACACTTTGATTTTGAGGGAAACCATCCACCAAGTGATGAAGATCTATTTCCTTTCTCTGAGTCGCAAGCAAACATGGAACCCCAAAGTATTGATGTGCCTATCAATGCCACAACCAAAACTACCCACAGTAAGTTGACAGTAGCCACTGACTCATGTTCTGAAATTGAAGAGAGTTCAAGTTCTGATTCATAGGTGCAACCCTCTAAGAAAGAGAAAAAGCCGATTGATGAATATAGCGATTTTGAGGCTGAGTTGGAAACTGTGTCAACCAATCCCACTCGTAAGCGTAAGGTTTCGACAAAGAAGAAAAAGGTGATGGTAGGAAAGAAGCCCAAGGCCATACCGTATACAGAAATGTATGTATGTATAAAAAATATCAAGATTCTCATGAAACGTGCCTTCGACCCCAAGTTGGTCGAGGCACTGATCACTGTAAAACATCATCTTTTAGCACTCTATTGGGACAATCTTGTTTCTGCCCCTACTATTGCTAATGTTTCGTGGGTAACTAAATTTTATGCTGCTGTGGGTAATACTAAAGGTGTTTCTGTCCGTGTTTGGGGGAAGAAAATTGATTGGTCCGAACCAAATCTTAATTCGGTCTTTGGTATCTCAGCCCCTCCTGTTTGTTCTTTTGCACAAATTTTGAAAAGATCCCTGGTTGTTTCTGATAAGGACATAACCTTTGTCCTCACCCTTCCCGATCATGGGTGGTCAAGGGATAACAAACGACAAATTATTCTGGCCGGACATTTGAACAAGTAAGCTATGTTATGGTTTCAGTTTTATGACATAACCTTATCCCAATGGTTCATGATAGTACCCTTTCGAGAGAGAAGTGTGTACTTCTCTACTATATTTTGAAGGAGATGGTTGTGGATTTGGGGTCCATCATTCACACTGCCATCTCAACGTGCTACATCCCGTTTTATTTTTCCTGCCTTGATCATAAACCTCTTAACTGCTGCCAATGTCTCGACTTATGACACTGATATAATTGTTGCTGGATCATCGTATATTGGCCAAGATACAATGGATCTCTGTCAACGTGCTTGTCGGCCTTCTAACATTTTGCATGATAGAACTTCTGTCCCTGTGGATGATCATTTGGAGCCTTCGATTGCTCTTATTTCGACACCACAACCGTCACAGCCGCCTGCTGCTGCCGTTGCTGGACCGTCACAACAACCATCTAAGTCATCGTTCGCCTATGGTTACAGTTCTGCCATATGGCTTTCGGTTTTAGCACTTCAATGGGATGAAAGCAACCAGAAGTTGGACTCCATTCTCAACAAAGTTCATGGCGTAGATGATCGACTCGCTAGTTTGGAGAAGATAACAACCCGTTACTGAGCTTATTCACGTGATTGGAACCGTATTGCTCGACATACTCATGGCCGTCAAGACTTGCTTCTTGCATCCCAATTGCCACGATTTCCTGGGGGTTTGAGTCCTCCACAATTTCGAAATGTTCCTTCTATTTCTGCCCCTTCTGTCGATGCTCCTATAGTCCCTACCTCCAATGTTCATTCCTCCGAAGTGACGAATCAATCCACCACTGACCACAGTGAGTAGGTTCGACCCGAATAGTTGAATCCTTGGTTTATCATCACTATCTTTTGAACATTTTTATTGTGATCTTTAGGTACATTTTGCTAAAACTTTTGATCCTTTTTTTGTGTTACTCCCAGATCCGTCATACTTTTTTGTTATATGTTATGACTTGGTGTTGAAAATTCTTTTTGTTTGTTCTTTTCAGGTACACCATCATTCATTGATTTTTAATAGTGTTTATGTTACAAAGACATAGGCCATCCTTTCATTTTAAGCCTAAACACTTTCTCATTGAATCCAATTTGTTTGTTCTTTTCAGGTACACCATCATTCATTGATTTTTAATAGTGTTTATGTTACAAAGACATAGGCCATCCTTTCATTTTAAGCCTAAACACTTTCTCATTGAATCCAATTTGTTTGTTCTTTTCAGGTACACCATCATTCATTGATTTTTAATAGTGTTTATGTTACAAAGACATAGGCCATCCTTTCATTTTAAGCCTAAACACTTTCTCATTGAATCCAATCTGAGCCATCAACTTTGGTCCTTTTATATACAAATGGGACATTATACAATTCAACTTTGTGGGGAATGTGTTAAAAAGTTACCTTTGGAAAATTGGAAGGTAATAACAAAAAGAAGAAAGTCTTCGTAAAATTGGAAGACAAAAACCGTGAGCTCATTGTCTAAAAAGAAAAAATATACCAAATAAATGGATCACAAATATTGTCGATTACCTAAAATTGAATCAACGAGAATTTTTGCTTCAAATCCTTTTGTAGTATAAGATAAGTTTGGGGGATGGATATACACAATCATTGCCATAAACACTAGCCTAAAGTCCTACTGATTATGGGTGACACTATGTAGATCAAGTAGGGAAGTTGTACATCATCCATACTAGACGAATATCCGACATCTTTTGTAAGTATTCGCCTTCATCTCTTTCTTTAGGTTTCTTCTCCTTATTTTTTTCTCTTTTACTTGAGGACAAGTAACGCCACAAGTTTAAGGTATGATAACTTTCAATTTTGAGAGTTATTTGTTGTTCAGTACTCCTATTCTTATGTCTTTTATGTACCCATTTTGCCTCTTTCTTATATTTTTGGTCTAAAATGTTCTTAAGAGGTGATGGAAGGTCAAAGATTTGATTTTACTCTACAAAACCGTCATTGCTAGACAGTGTCCACTGCATGCCCACTTGCTGCCTACTGTGATATTTTTCAGAGCAGATCTGGATAAGGTTAAATACCCTATTTTTTTTGGGTATTCAAGAGAGTTAAATATGTTGTATATTCTTTAGACTTCACAAAATCTAAAAGGATGGGCCATTTTGTTTATAAAATGACTTAAAATACTTTTTTTCCTTAAATCAAGGGGATGACCATCTGTTGATCATTTCTCTCAGTGATTTGATGATAATCCCTTTTTTTCTTTCACGTTGTATTT